ATCATCAGCTGAAATGATTATGTTTATATTAAAATTCATGAAGATAGTCAAAGAACAATTTACTTAGAAAGGTTATAATCATATGAATGAAACTGTCTCGTGTATGTGTGGAATATTTGTAGCCATGCAAAAAACAATCTCATGGAAAGGTGCATCAAGACCTATAAACTTCACATGAAACAAATCATCATTCTTATTACCCTCTAGTGCAAATAAGGTTTTCATTTTTGTACAATTTTCACAATTAATTGAAATAAAAAAACGTTTGACGTTCCAGATAATTTAGGTGCTGCTTTATTCAAACGGCTGTAAATATTCTATTCAACTCACCGGTGTAGTGTTTACATATCCCACAAAAATATTCAGACAGTTTTCTTTTACAATGAGTGCAATGGCTTCCTTGAGGCGTTATTTCCTGGACAGTCCTGCATGTTCGACATCGTAAAYGTGTGGCGTCTGCAGCTTTACTATCGTTGACGTGACAAGCATCTGATTGGTTGTGACATCGATGACATTGGTAGAACGCMTCGCAGCATGGGAAGAACATGTCACARCCTCTCTTGAAATGGGTGCATGACACCAGGTCATCGTCGTCTACYTGGACTGGAAGACTSGCTGGTTGGAGTGAGTTGTCATGTTTCTCGAGCTCCTTTGCTTTTTTTGCTGCMATCATTCTKTCGATTTCTTCTTGTTCTATTCGTCTTCTGAGCTCGCGTTCTCTTCGTCTGTTCTCTCGTAGACGATGATCCATGTCGTACATACTTTGCGTCATTAGGCTGCCCATAGTTTCTCTAGCCATGCCAACTGATTCTTCGAGAGATCTCAGAGCACACTCGCTGCTTGAAGTATCAGTATTGTCTGAATGGGAAGAAACCACGYTGCAAACAGGTAAAGATGTCGTGTCGGCAGTCTGATTGCCAAATTCTGACGATGTAACATTATCACTCGGTGTTTCATTTTCAGATCTAGTACAYGTGCTGTTGAGCGTTTGGCTATCAGACGATGTAGTACTGCTTGAATCAAAAGATGAGTTATCTTTATAGGAAGAGCGTCCCTTCAAAAGGGAGCCTTTAGATCCAAAATCACCTCCAGGTGCACTCGGATGACCATTTGTCGTTGTGCCATCGCTTCCTGAAGATTGGTAGATAGATGTCTTAGTCTTGYTGCTTTTGTTAGGGTTTTTACCTTTAGACGAACGATCTCTAAAAGAAGTCCTCTCTCCTTTCCTATCATTGCTTCCTTGTAGAGCCTGTGGTGTGACATGTGAACGGACGTTTAAGTCTTTAAAGGCAGCCCAGATCTCATTTGCTAAGCGTATACATTTCTGCTCTTCTGAAGGAGTAATGTGGTTGTTGGTCAGGGAGTTRTATGCCTCGTTTAATGTCATAGGTATCTCCATTTCCATAACTACTTCAATAATGCCTCTAGACAAATCCAYGTCGGCCTTACGAGGATGACTTTGACTGTATGCACCAGAGCCAGTTTCACCTTCGGGACGATTACTTCTTCCATCAGATGCAGCTACGTTCATGGCACGATCACTTCTTCTATCMAATGTCTTTAGCTTCATRGCTTTACGAATGGATGCAACCTTTCYCTCAATATCTTTRCTGACTTTTTCCCACTGCGGTTGTGCTTTGAYTTGTTCCAGAGAATKGCACGCTTCCCCAACTGCTAGACAGATTATCACCTCTGCCTTTTTGTCACCATTTTCTTTGGCAATTTCCAGGCCTCTTCGACTGAACAAGAAYACTTCATCATATATTCCCTGAAACTCATACAAGCTGATCAATAATAAGCAAGCCTTGATTTCGACATTGCTGTCGTTCATTTGCCTGGCCATGCTCCAGTATGCCCTGGCGGGTTCAATAGCTTTRTCATATTTATGTAGCGMTTTGTAGAGGGTGACAAGATTCATGCATATATTCATCTCACTTTGCCGATCARAAAGTTCTTTGGCAATTTTCAAACTTCGTTCATGATAGGAAATCGCATCCTCGAGKTKGTCCATGTCTTTACTTAATGYAGCTAACTCTTGCGATATTTCCATTTCTATCGCCCTTTCGCCGATTTCTTTTGAAATCTTTAGAGATCTGTTATTATAAGAAACAGCTTGAGCAACGTCGTGCAAGGTTATGGATATTCCTGCCATCTCCCTAATTGTAGTCAACTCTGTTCTCTTATCACCAATTTCTTCTGCAATTTTCATAGTTTTTTTCAAGTAATGCAGGGCATCTTTAGGCTTATTTAACGATTTGTATATTACAGCCATTTCTCTGGTCGCTTGAATTTCCTGCTCCCTGTCGCCAATTTCTTTTGCAATTTTCAGAGATTTTGTGAAGCAATCAAGGGCATCGAAAGGCTTATTTAACGYTTTGTACACTACTGCAATTTCTCTGTTCGCTTGCATTTCCTTCTCCCTATCGCCAATTTCCYCTGCAATTGCTAGAGCTCTTTTATAGTAAACAACAGAATCATTGTACTGTTCAGAGATCTTATAGAATTCACCCAGATCCACAGCTCTACACATAGCCATCTTCTTGTCACCAAGTTGATTAGCGATTTCAAAGCATCTTTCGCAGTGTTCGRTAGCATGGCCGATCTGATTCATTTTTTTGAAGGTGTTCGTAAGATCACTGGTTACGTCCATCTCCATTTTTTTGTCACCAAGTTCAACAGCTATTTTCAGACATCTTTCGTTGTTTAGAATTGCATCAACTTCCTTTTGGCTCATGCCTTGATACAATATTGCAATTTCTCTGCTCGTTTGCATCTCCATTTCTTTGTCATCTTGTTCCTTGGCGATTTGGAAGAGGATCTTGTAATAGAAAACTGCATTTTCATGTTCGTTCAAGACTTTGTAGGCTTTCACTAGATTCTCAGCAATTTCTATCTGCAGCTGTTTCTCAGCCTTTTCTTGAGCTATCTGTAGACACCGCTGGTTGTAAGCAACTGCATCACCAAGCTGATTCAAGCCCATGTAAATTGAAGCTAGATCCTTTGCTGTTGACAGCTCGATATCTTTGTCTTCCAGTTCTTTAGAAATCTCAAAAGACCTTTTATAGTAGGAAATGGCTTCGTGCACTTGGTTCAAATGTTGGTGGATCACTGCCAGATTCCTGGACACATGCATTTCAATTTCTTTGTCAGCAGTTTCACATGAAATTTCCAGACACATTTGGTAATAGTGAATAGAATCGTTGTATTTATTAATGGTTTGGTAAATCATTCCAATATCTCTTGCTGCTTTCATTACCATTGATTTGTCGCCACTTGCTGTCGATAATTGAATGCATYTCTYACTCATTTCAACAGCGTCATTGAATCGATGTGTTGCATGGTAGATAATGCTCAAATTCATAACTGCACGTGCTTCCATCTCCAGGCTACCCATTTCTTGTGACAGTTCTTGGCAATGGAGGTTTAAAACAATAGCGTCTTCATAACGCTCTAAATTCTGATAGGTTGTAGCAATGTTTAGAATTGCACGCATTTCCATGTTTTTGTCGTTGAGCTCCTTTGCAATGTCTAGACACTTTCTTCCGTACGAAATGGCTTCTTCGTACTGTTCACAGCTTTGGAGAGTGGTGGCTAAGTTAATTGCTGAATGCATTTCACTTTGTTTGTCTCTGATGTCTTTAGCAATATGGAGGCTGCTTTTGTTTCCGCATTCTTCGGCATATTCAGTATTAAAGGAATCATTAAAATTGTCACTCAGTTGAGACAGTGGATTTYCTTTTAGTTGATCTTGTGGACCATCACAAATATCTTTGGATGTATTCAAAGACTCTGCGAGGTTTCGATTATCACTTTTACTTTGAAATTCAACAGTAACAAATTCCTTYAACGGTACTGTATTTGTTCTTGCATGTTCTTGATTATTTAAAATTGGCATTGACATGAACGGGCTAGGAGCCCCTCCATCGTTTTGCAAACCTGAGTCGTTGAAATACTTTCCAAGAAATGAAGAGCTTGAAACCCATGGATGTGTATCACTTACGACATCTGTTATTTCATCTCTTGGAGCATCTGAAAACGTATTGAAGTAATCTCTTAAACGACTGTAAGGTTGCTTGTCATCGCCTTCGCTCACAACGCGATTTCTCCTTTGTTTTAGGTTCTCTCCTTGTTGTCCCAGTTCCTCATCCCAAAGGGGTTGGTAAAGATAGTGTCCTTCCTGCATTTTATAATCAACTGGGTTTGCAGCATGTTGTTGTGGTGGCAAAGACCAGTGACTAATTACATCTTCCGTGCCCAGCTCACGTTCTTTTTCAGTCAAACTTGGAACCATAGAGAGACCTTGATTTGATGGCTTTGATTGGAAGGACTCCTCGATGAAGTTTTTCATTTCAGTGTACGAAAGCCCAGATATCTCTTTGGAATCAGTTATGTTTATCCTTCGCAACTCCTTGGCTTCATCTGGCCTCGATGTTATCACTACATGAGCTCTGCCAAGAATTCTCTGTCTCAATATTTTGGAAATGATGACAGGTGGAGGCATTTCGATACGTGGATCGTTCTTGTACTGCTGTTCAAAGTCGTTATCCAAGATGTCTTCACGGTACGAATAAGCATCGTATCCATCAAACACGAGCATGACTTGCTGTGGTTGTTCCACAATTTGCTGGAAACGTGACTTGTCAATAACTGAATTATTACCAGGAAGAGAAAAATGGTTCAGTAGCTCACGAGGAGTACAATTCTTCCTTYCAAATATATTCAACTGGTGAAATGGCACTAGAAAGGCAAATTTGACCTTGGAGCTTAGGCTAGAAAATGGCAAATATTCTTGAGTCATKTCTCTAACAAGCTTTTGACAAAGCAGAGATTTCCCTATGCCTGGAAGTCCAATTATGAGAATGGGTTTTGAATTAGCACGATTTTCCTCTTGCAGGGCACTAGTGCTTTCACTTGTTTGCAGATTCAATTCAGAAAGATTTTGGATAACATTACTTTTGCCACACCAAGATGTCCCTGGTGTTAAGACACGCGTTGAAATTTGTTGAAAGGGATCAGAAGGMAATGCTTGATCTCCTGACTTTCGAGGCACATCGTCCGATATAAGCAACTCCTGCCTATGAGTGGATGATGGACCATCAGCAACGACAGTTTCAGCATTTCTGAGTTTTGTTGAATGTAAGGGAGCACGACCTGCTCTCTTTTGCTCGACACTAGCACATCTTGCTTCATCATCTGCAATACGTCTTTCCAGTTTATTYGCTTTCGATGTGAAGGAAGTTGGAAGATCTACTTGTTTKGAAGTTGTGCAAGAATTCAGTGACTCAAATCCATAGTTGTACGGGTCTTTTCCTAGARCTGCTAATGTCTTTCCATATCYTGATATTTGCAGAGAATCTCTTTCTTCGGAGGCTTGTTCAAGCKTGCTGTTAGTTTCACTTTTTGGGGGACCACCACATGCCCCAATAAAACTTTCTGTGGCGCTTTGGAAGGATTCCAAACTGGAGTCACTATCGCTCACATGAGATCTTGTTTGTAGTACAGWTTGTTTACCGTCATCAGTTACTTCAAAGAGTGCGCCACGTTCAACTATGAAGGAATCATCATAAGAGGAATCGGCCTCTTTGAGAATAAAATGATTTGCGATGGGGAAAGACCTTACAGAACTTACGCCATTGCCGTATTCAATCATTCTCTGGTCACTGCTTGTACCGAGAGTATCAAAATCGTTGTCCAAACACGACTTGTCTGTGCCGATGCCAGGTTTCAATAAGCATTCGTCAACATCTTYTGAAGGGCAATAAGATGCAGAACTTTCACCGGCGTYGTTTGTTGCCCCTTGGATTGCGCCTGGTGTAGAGTGTGTTTTCCGAGATAAATTTCTTCTCTTAAATGACTGGACATCTTGCTGTAAGCTAACAAACTTGTACAAATTTCGCTCAGCGTTTTGTCGACGGAATTCAGCTTCTCCGATTTCTAGTAGGTAATTGGCATCATTCTATTCAAATAAAAATCAAACGGTTAGACTCTATTCGGTCAATCAACTAACCAACCTATCAACTGACTACAGTCATCTACATGACCAGCATTGAAAAATTGCAGTTTCTAAGGTATTATATAAGTAACTTTTTACTTCAACGTGATATAGGTGCATATCAAGCACACATGATACTTACACTAGCTGTCTTTCCATCCTCGTGAATTTCATGCTCCAACGACAGTGATCTGGTTTGCTCGTTGTCAAGGCTGCAGAGAGAAAAATCTTCGCCATCTTGATTACAAGTATCATCACAGACAAGGCCATATTGCTCATCATTGCTTGTTACCATCATTTGTGTTGCATCGTCATTTTGAGAACGTGTTACTGGGATTTCAAGGCATGGCACGTTGTCTTGTAGTTCATCGCATACTTTAGTAAGATCTCGAACTTTATTCTTTAACAACAAAATAATCGGTGTTAATAAGCATATTAAGATTCATCTTTAATCAAGATTTCACGCATTATTATTTATTTTGTTTAAGCTTTAGTATCTGTTTATTAATTCACAAAGAAAAGGAAAGCAACTACTTGAATACTAATGATTGATAGTGCCTAAAATTTGGCAGTATTTCCGTCAATATTCAATATATGACCTTTAGGTCTATCATTCTCTCGAGTTATCCAATAAGCACACCAGGAAAAACAATATCAACAGTAACAAGAATATAACGTATGATAATTCATACTATTATATATGTATATATATGAAACAAAAGCCTTTACCTTCAAGTAGGAGTTTACCCTTCTCAATTTCAAGTTTTCCTCAAGAGCAATTTCAAGATTGTTGTCACGACTTTCTYGATTGATGGAGTCCTGTATTCCACCTGTCACTCTAAGCCAAGGACTCTCTGATTCAAGACACAATTCAAAATTATTTTTGCACTTCGTTATGACTTCATCACATATTCTGGTGATRTCATTTGGTATGGCGTCAACTTCTGAAGGACTGGGGCGCAATATTTTCAAGATAAGTAMGAGGTGCTCATCTTTGGTAACCAGTTTTAGCACACCATGTTTGTGATTGGTAAAGAAAATTGTGATCTGATCTTCACCAGATTTGTACACTTCTTCAGCAAGTACCTTCACCTTGAAATGGTGGTGMAGCGCTGCTTGGAGAAGCGCTGGCTCGGTTTTCATGGTAAAAGTGATTTTCTTCTGGTACTCATGAGCATAGAACTCTTTCAAATCGGACTGTTCTAGCTYGAYGATTCTTAACAATTCCAAGYWAATTCCAAGTCTTTCAGCAATAGAAGACCAACTTGGCACAAATTCAATGACGRCATCCAAGCTCAAACTTAGGTTATCCAGAGACTTCTCGTTGATCTTGCGCAGTTCTCCGATGTCCAGAAGTGMTCTTGCTSTGTGTATTAAGACGGTCGAAAAAAAGGAGCTTTCTGTCGMCTCCTGATAACTGCTTGTCTTCAATGCGGTTGCTTTGAACAGCGGTTGCTCCTTTTTTGTGTTGTCTTTGTCTTCATTATTCTCAGGTTCGTAACGGCCGCAAGTKATGATGTTACACAAGCGTGATGGTTTTCCTGACACGGTAATTTCTCTATAGCTTACATAAAATGAAATATTGCCATAAAAATCCTTGTACATTTCCAGATTTGGACTTTCTATGGCTGTTTTATTCTTTTCAGCATGGTATGCCATTACTTCAACCAACGTTTCACATACACTAACTAGCGGCAGTGCTTTTGTTTCAGCAGCAGTTTCAAGGAGGAAGCACAATCCAGCAATAGCATGCAACCCATAAATGGGGTTGAGATGAATTTCCTTTGAACAGCCGATCGCATCTTCAGACATAATCGAAACTTTACGTAGGAACTCCAATTGGTATTTACAAAAATCAATGAAAATCTGGTTTTCTTCATGTTGTGAAAGCATGTATGTACATGTGCTCAATGCAAGAGCGAGAATTTGTTCTGGACTACTTGAAAACGTTCCTCTCCTGATGGAGAGACTAGCTTCTTCCTCTTTTGCGTCTTTGGTAATACATGCCATATCAACCAACAATAGATTGTGGATCTCTTCACAGGAAGTGAGATCTGACTTGATAACTTGAGAGTCAAGGTCACCAGAAGTAAACACGTCTGACACCGTTTTTAGTGGAGATTCAAAAAGATCAATCAATCTGTACATTGTTGAACACTGGTTATCACCATTGGATAAGCTATCCATTACTTTTGAAAAATACAATGAAATCGGATGATCATCATTATAATGGTGAATAGATACTTCAATACCTGATTTCAAAAGAGTTTTCGCGAGATTTCTTTCTCCTACGGAAATTAATGCGCATACTATCTCTCTTGAAAGAATCAAATCAGCGGCACACACATGGTCATCATCAACATCTTCTAAAATGTATAAAATAGACGAGGAATCAGTCAAAAGAACATGAACCATCTCTTCTTGCGCTTTCTTAATATTCCCTTCACCGACTAAATACACAGCAAGAGAACAGTGGAGAGCTTTGAGAATTTTTTGGCATCCAGGTAAGGTAGTATAACTATTCAGGTCAACCTCCTCAATGATCTTCAAGTTATTAATTGCACCATTTTTGATAAATAGATCAGTATAGTTTTTTAAAACTACAAGATCCTGATAACCCGACGAATTTGCTTTTTTGTCGAGTGTCCAATCATCATTGCTGACAAAGTTAGCCCTTAGTACACCGCCAGATGAACGAGGTTCTCGATAACGTGACAAGCCATCATGATCACGTGAATGATGTCCATGATCACTTGGCAAGCGGTCACCATTTCTCCTGGACTCGTTTTGCATTTCATCTGAAAACGCACAGCTCTTTTGAGCTTTAGCTTTTAGCCAACTTCTATTCCGAATTACGAATCCATTGATGGGACCAGTGATGAGTTTAATTGCAATATCCCTTTCACCGTGTTTTAAGTAAGCACAAGCTAAATTATTGGCCACGATGTCATATAAGCGTGTGTTACGCATCAATTCAGTGAGCAGGTTTTGAAGGTCTGTCTCGCTTGGGGCTACTCCCATTATGGCCTCTGCGCATCCCATGTTATTTCTGACAGCAACAGTCACACGAAATTCGGGCTCTTTTTCAAGTTTCTTCAAAAACTGACATGAAGCACGAAAAAAATCTACAGCAACATCAAATAGCCCCATCTCAAGGGCATTTGCTCCAGCAATGGTGCAAATTACCACGTAAGAATGGGCATCATGAGACCGAATCTTTATTAAGATGAAGCCAAGCACTGTGCTGCATTCATTAGGTAGATTCCAATTCTTAGATTCAAGGTTTTGGAGCTTTTCCTTGAATTCTTTGGTTTCGAAATCGTCAGGAGAACCATAGCACTTAATACCATGTAAAATACTTTTTAATACTTCTACAGCTCTAGAAAGACAATTACTTTTGCGAAAAAAAATGGTAGCATGGAGATTTTTGATGATTTTATCGGCTTCCCTTTCAGAAGTACGAAAAGGCGCAGGATCCATCCAAGACGCTTGACTTTCAACCAGATTGTAGCAATTTTTTTCTTAACCTGACGGCTTTTTTTCCGACATCGGGATGCGCCTCCCTTTTTGTACCAACTTTTCCTAAAAAAGTATAGAAAATCAAAATATTAGAGTATTTGAGAATTATTTCAAGGCAAATTCAAATGTGGAATTTTCAATGAATCTATAATGCATTCAGTTTATTTGAGTAACATTATTTTTCGGATATGGATTGTTTGCGAATGTGAACAAGGGGCCGTTTGGCGTGCGCATGCGCCAGTCTGTTGAAAATCATTGAAATTCACTGGCTTACTATAATCGCCGAAACGAAACGACACGAAACGAAACGGGAATCTGTATTCAACGAAACGAAACGAAACGAAACGGGAATCTGTATTCAACGAAACGAAACGAAACGAAACGGGA